AACATTTGTTTTCTCTCTCATGCTAATGACTTAAGCGGTGAAATTTGTCATACAGCTAGCTCCTTTGGTGGTCTACTTGCTCCAAAAATTTCAAACAAGTAGCTTGTCCAGAACTGAAGATATTGAATTTTGAATTATGTTAGGTTTGCAGGAGTGTGTTCTCACTATTGGTGGATATTTTCACTAACCATATCCGTTCTTTTTCAATGGAAGATATTTCTGACCAAGCATCTTTATCTTTGTTGATTGGTTCAAAAAGCGAGCGTGATGGATTAGTCAAAATATCTATCAATGAGAAAGAACCCCAAATCAGTCGATTTATGGATCTATATGTCGGCTTTTTTCCTTATTTTACGAATTCAGGAAATATAGGTGATAAGCTTACAGCGTTTCTCATTCTTCCATCTGGTTTCGACAATGATCGGAGCAGCGGATATTGCAGCCATGCTGACTGAGCGAATTTCAGAAAACGATGCCTACCGACCTACGGATGATGTTCAAGTTCAAGAACTCGTCGACCACCTCTTCGAAATTATTCAAAACTTCCTCTCTGCCTCATCATTCGAAATTGAAGAGAAATCTACACTCGATCATGCAGACTCGTTCGATTATTCACCAGAGGATGAATGTCAAGAGGGCGAAGTGGAGGAGGAGGTGGAATCGGACGAGGAAATTGGAGAAAGTGACGAGCAACTCGTACAAAAGTTCTCCCTTGAGTATATGGAAAAGGTGCTGGACTATTATGACGAAATTAACGAGACTGGGAAGCGAAAACGCAGTTGGAGGAGTGTTCATAGTCGATTTCGTCGAATTCCGCATCGGCAATATCTCTCTCGGTTTCGCGATTATGTTGTTCGCCAAGGGTCGAAGCGGCAAAAAACAGATGAGATAGATTCATTCGTATTCGAATTGTTCGAAGGTGCTCGTGAACAATCTTTATGCATTCACGATAATGATTTAAGGCGATGGGCACTGCAGAAGGCTCGAGAACAATCAATGTTTGAATTTTCCGCATCCGTCCATTGGCTTGCCAACTTTAAGCATAGACACAATATTGTTTCTCGAAAAATCACCAAAATTGTGAGCAGACATTCAATCGAAAATGTAGATGAAATCGAGAAATCAGCCAAGGAATTTGTAAATGCAGTACGAGAACAGTCGAAGAATTATTCCCCAAATGAAATTTTCAATACCGACCAGGTTGGTTTGGAGAAAGAATTTCGAAGCACCCGTACACTCACTTTTAAAGGAGAAAAGACAACAATAGGATCGGTG